ACTATTTATAATTTTGCATTATTTTTTATGTCCACGTGGGCAAATATATATGTTTAAAATACGGTATTAAATAGTCTAGGGAGGTAATAGGTCCTCATGAAAGTTTAGTATCGCAACAGCAAATCCGACCAAAGTTGGGGTATTTTTCAGACCCTTATCCCTAATTACAAATACACTTAAATACTAATCTCCATGTGAATTTATTAATTGTGAATAAAAAATGCATCTTCTTGTACAGGGACAACTTTGAACTTAAGTGTCAATTAATTAGTTTTAAGTGATGATTGCAACATTGGTAAGATCTACGTACACACTATTTTTTTCAGATTACATTTGTGAAACTACATTGATTATCTATTTGTTGCTAGTGTTAAGTGTAGTTTCACTGGGCTTGCCAAAAGCCCACTGGATTTTTGTATGCCCATCAAAATTGGTTAATTTGGGCAACATATTAATCCAGTTTTTCATTGAAAATATGTTTTAAGCTAATAAATGGGCGATCAACGATCCTCCAAGCTTGAGCAGGTTATATTTTCATGGACTAATTTTACCATCTCTAGAACCATCGAAGCTCACTAACTTTGCCAATGTTGTCCAAATTTAACCACGTGTCGCGTCGTATATATAGTCTCAACACCTTCCACCAAAAGATAGGTATACCTAAACATGTTAAATACCATTGATAGAGACTCATAAATCTCATAGACTTATATATACCTCCTAAAGAGGCAAAGCAAGTCTTTATGGGGAAACATGATATTTAAGGGATCATACACGCAAAAAAACTTATATATACAATATAATTTTTTATCTAGAAAACACCCTCATCCCCTCGTAGATCCGCACTAGCTCTATAGCTTCTTATAAGTTGCACGTCGTATTGTATTTCCATTCACATGTCAAACACTTTGTTGCCTCCAAATGAGTCTCAACTAATTACAACTTGTGTTATGAGCATCAAGAGTAAATTTCTCAGATGGTCACTCAATCTAGGAAAATCGACTAATAAAATTATGTTATATCAATAAAGTCATTTAATTTATATTTCTTCGTTTTAAAAAAAAAGTGTCTCTTTTCTCTTGGCAATTCTTTAATTTTCAATTTTCTACTTAACATGTTTAAGACCACAAGATTGAAAATAATTTAGTATATATATATATATATATATATTAGACTTCATGTTAGTCGACATGTGACAAACAAATTAAAACAGAGTGAATATCGGAATCTATAGATTTTGTCCAAACTAATTTGTCAATAAAGGTAGCATCTTCTTGGAGTTTGGTAAGGGGACAACTTTGATAACAACTCAACAATTAAGAAAGAAGCAAATATAGTTGAAATTAGTGCTAATAATAAATTAACAAACCTACTGATTAATTAGTTAAGTGATGATTGCATTGATTCCTAACAGATAATGGTGACATGCATACCCCTTTTTTTTGTACTTTTCTTAGATTTAAATAATTTTCATTCAATTCAATCACTACATTCGTAATATAATAAAATATATTCGCATTTAATATTTGTATATCAATATTCTTACTTTCACTAGGTAATTCTTTTCATCTGTCCTAGCTTTGGTAGACAGAGTTACCTGATATCTGTTGTTGATAGGAGGTGGTAAATATTCCGTAAAATTAATTAAGATGCGCAAAAACTGGCTCAAACACCACGATCATAAAAAAGAAAAAAAAATCAACATTCTTACATATTCTTTTATCACGTAATTATGATTAATGAGCTTATGGACTGACATTGGATAGATGATAAATAATTAACTTGTTAAAATATGTTGTTTAAAAAAAAAAAGGGGAAATATATTTATTAAATTGAGACAAGAATTAGTAGCATATAATCCCTATTATTGGCTACATGTAAGTGTTGAAAGTTTCAAAACTCTTTTTCTCTCTTTTTTTCATCTTGAAGACCTCAAATTTGCATGTGCATGAGTCTCCTTGACCTCTCAAAGTTGCTTTACGAAAGTATATTAATGTATATAAGTTAGATTTAAGATTTTAAATATATATATTTTTTAAATAAAACATGAGAATTTAAGTAAAATTTGTATATTAATACGATTTATCAGGTGTGTGAATTTTCTACCTGAATTATCACCAAATGTTTATTAAAACATATCTCAACTATCAATTGTACATTCACTTTTTCTATCAGTAACATCAACATTGTTTAAGTAGAAAAAGTAAACAACTGATAATTGAGATGTATTTTGATAAATATTTGATGATAGTTTGGATAACAATCATACACCTGATAATTCTTGTATGAAAATATAAGAATATTATAGGTGTATTTTTTTATCCACCAGTCTATAAATACAAGAATTCTACTTAAACTAGCCTTCATATTGTTATAGTCATATACATCCCCATACTAGTTATTCTCATAACAATATTGCATCATAATGATTAATGACCATATTTTCTAGGGAACTAATCTTTCATATCATGTTATAATTATACTTCTTATGTTTTAATTTATATGATATATTTTTTCTTTTAATCCGTTTAAAAAAGAATGATATATTTTCTTATTTGATAAATATTTAATGGCACTATCAACTTTTTCCTGAGTTTCACTTATTTGGCAAAAAAATCACAAAAATGTACTCCCTCTGTCCAACAATAGTTGTTCACTATTCACTTGACATATGAATTAAGGAGTAAATAATAGAGGTGATTTAACCAAATCACTCTTATTAAATATAAGTCATTTAAATATTAAAAATGAATAGTATTTAATAGCAAGGGTAAAATAGACATAAAATAATAAATTATTCATTGGTTTTATAAATAGAACAAGTATTGTTAGATATCTCAAAATAGTATAGAGGATAAGTAAAGATGAACGGAGAGAATATAATTCTATTTAAAAAGAGTCATTTATTTTAAGAAATCATTTTGAAACATTGCAAATACTTTTCATATTCATTAAATTTTGTATCAAATTCAAACTATATATACTATATAAATTGAAATAAAAAAATACATTTTTTATAATATTATTTTGATATAACAATAAAAAAAATATTGAAATAAATGATACTGCTATAGAGAAATCTGACTATATCATTTTTGTGTGCTAGAGAAGGAGAGATATATAGAAGAGCAGACAAAAAACATCTTATTGTTTACATGAGTTTTTGCCCAAAAAGAAAAATTCATCCAATCAAAGACTGTTAATGTTATCTTTGGCCAATCCCAACACAAATGTTGTGCGAGAGTTAAGTAGTATTTCTTCATTTTTAATCAGAAATGTTAAATACAAAGTTTAGTGGATTTAAAATTGTATTTCTTTGATGATATGAGCATAAATAGCAGTTCAACTCATA